ATTTTATTTGTTTTACTAACAATTGTTAAGGCCCATTCTAAATCCACCTTCAAGCCCAGTCAGGTCCACTCACGCACCCCCTAATTCTTTTTCTCAAACTCTTTACAGCCAGCCCAACTCCATCTCCACTCGCGCAACCCCCCCCCCCCCCCCCCCCCATTTTACTTTTGTTTATACCATTTTGTTATGGGCATTCCCCAACTCCATTCATAAACCCATCGAAGTTATTTTCAGCATACCCTCTGATCTGCTTACAAACACACGGGCCAATATTCTTTTTTATTTATTTTTACTTCTAACAAAAAATATGTTTGGGCCTAATTTTTTTACTATTTTCTAACACCCTTTCCTATTTCTTAACCCCTGGCCCATATTCTTTTCTTTTTACTTTATTTTACTTTTTATTTATTTTCTTTAATATAAAATATATAAAAATATATTTTTCTAAATAATTATACTAAAACTTTTCATTTCATTTTTTATTTCTTATTTTATTTTGTATGGACAAAAGACCTAAAAAAATATTTTCTTAACAAATTAATTTCTTTTCTTAATTAAATTAAATTAGACTTAGGGTTTAACCAAATTAGATTTTAGGTTTTGTTAAATATTTAATTAACTTATCTTATAATTAATTAGTTTAATTAGGAAACCTCTCCTATCAAAAACCATAAAAAACAATTTTCTTTTCTCTTTTCTTTATCTTTACATTTTTGTACATTCTACTACTTCTCATTATAATTTATGTAATTTTCAAATCCTTGTAATAGTAATTAGGATTTTATTTACTTGCCTTCCCCATTTTTAATTTGTACCTCTATCCCCTAAAGTATTGTAATAGCGTATGACTTTTAATTTCCGCAATTTATCGCTTTCCATATTATTACTAGTAATTAGGGTTTTTATGGCAAGACAGAAAATCAAGCATTAGAAAACCCTTATTCAAGACAAGTTAAATGAAAACAATACACTTTGCACACTTGCACCTCTAGGGTTAACCCCCACTTGTTGCCTTAGATTAAAACAATCATGTCCCTCGAACGTGGGATACTTTAGCAAAGATCCTCGATTACAAGATCGTAGTCCCTCGATGACCCTTCGATGTTGCCTTTGATAAACGATCTTAGTCCCTCACAAAAAATTGTCAAGGTATCATACAATGTTGCCTTCTGTGATTGTACGATGACCCACACCTGTCCCTTCACATCTAATGATTAGGATCTCTACCAATAAATGATAAACAAGCACTATCCAAAGGAGGAGGAGAAGAAAAAAGACTTTCTTTTGAGTAGGTAGAATGCTCGTAGTTTCTTGTTCACAAACATTTCAAAACAAACATCTTTCAAACACACGAACACTTTCATGAAATATTTTCAAAAGTCAACACTTTATATACATTCTTATAGAGACGAGAATTATTACAAAGTTCTCCTAAACGAAGGTACTTTTGAAAAATAATTTCAAACAAATACATTTACAAAGAATTTTCAAAGTGAGCTAGAAACTAAGAGCCCGTAGATAACTATGGATGAAAAGGGTGCTAACACTTTCCCTTTTCATAACCTACCCCCCGAACTCAAGAAAATTCTCAAAAGTTATTTCCTGTTCTTTTCACCCTTTCCTTTATTGGATAAAAGAAAAGTCGGTGGCGACTCTTGCTATCCGCAACCGTTGTGATAAAACGCATAACACCCAAGTCAGTTCTCCCACCATATTACATAACTGGCGAATCTCCTGGGGATATACTTAAAAGTGGGGTTACCTTAGAGATTAGTTCACATTTAAATGCTTTCATTGTTTGACTTGCTTGCTTTACTATTAAAAGGGTTGTTTGGATTTTGAATAGATCCTCTACCAGGATCTGCGGGCATTATTAGGTAAGTAGCAATAGATCGTGGAGACTGTACTTCATAGACCGATATGGTTAAAGCGATGGCTATGTTAGTGTGACACATTTGTTTGTACCTGTATCCTTTGTGTTGAATCAAGGAGAATACGGGGCCGCTGTGTGTTATCATGAAGCACTAACTGACCGTAGAACCTTTAGTTGAACAACTTGGCCATTAGGAAGTAGTGAGATAGCCGACTTCAGTGGAAAATTGGAGATTGGTTGATACTCTATACTACACTCATTGAGATCGAACTTTTAGGATATTCCAGCCGCAAGAAAAGATTGATTGTGCTGAGACAATTCCCGATGAAGAAAGATCAATGATATTTAGATTCCCTATAACCCGATTACTTTTTAGGACAGGTTAAACCAGCTAAAACTTCAAGAGAGTACTTACCTAAAAAACCCATGCAAGCCTAAACCTAAGGACTTGTTTGCTTTTCTTGTGTTTGATTATTTGTTCATAGCATCATGACATCATGCCATAGCATTTTCACTAACCATTTCAAGGACCTAGGGATTTATCTTTGTTCTGTTTTATAGGATATGGCTTCCACTTGCAGAAATACCATCTGAATCGGCTTTGTAAAGGTGCCTCCTCAACTCAAAGAGTTAGCATCAAGGGTTCTTGAGAATTGTTCGTTCACCAAGAGATATGGTCGACTTCTCAACTTGGATACCTCAAGATTTGAAGATAAAATGATGGGTGTGCTCTTTTAATTCTTTGACCTTAATCATCATTGTTTCCGTATTCCTGATTATCAATTGGTGCCCACAATGGAAGAGTCTCTCAACTATTGGTATTGCCTATTCTTGATCAAATTCCTTTCACCGATCTAGAGAAAGCGCCACGACCTGAGGATATTGCATCAACCTTACATTTTTAACGGTCTGGCATTGTAGCCAATTGGGAAACAAGGAGCGGAGTCAAGGGTTTCCTAGCTAAGTTTTTGATATAAAAGGCTCAATTGTTTTGGGATGCTCTGGATTTGCAATATTTTGAAGAAGTCTTGGCTCTTCTAATATATGGTTTGGTACTTGTTGTACCCCAAAATTTTCCCTCCCATATTTCATTCATGATATTATCCTAGAATTTCTCGAATACTCAATTTGGCTCAGAAGTTGATCAGACAGACTCTCTTCCTAGGCAGTAAGTCAACAATTAGGGTTTAGTATTTTTCAAGAAAAAATGAGTATTCAAAGTTTAAAATTGTCTTTATGGTTCCTCATGTATTCTCAAGGATGCTTGTGCCAAGTTTCAAGCCTCGAATCACAAGTTTGCTCAGCCAATGGTTCAGATGACTGAAAATGAATTACAATGACCCAAAAAACGACCTTTTGCAAGATCAAGTTCAAACGATTGTAAACTCTTCATTATTCGATATTTTTGATCGTCTCTTTTTGCTTATGACTCTCCTTAACGTCATCTCCAATTTCTATTCACAAGTCAAGAGCTGATTACGTGCAAAAGATCATTAGAAAAATTCTAGTACTTTAGAGGTCTTCTGCAAATTTGACCTAATCACAAGAAACTCTTGTCCAATTTTCGAGGCTCATAATTTATTCAATTTTCAATATTCTGAAGCAATTATTTTTGCAAAGTATCACAAATAGCATTGTATATGATATTACTTCAACGATCAAAGTCAAAGTGCGCTTGGAAGACCATGAAATTTATTGAAATTTTATAGGAATTTCTTGACTTTAGAATGTTATTAACTTCTAGATGTTGATCATTATGTTGAGATAATTCATTCAAAAAAGAGTTTGAGTTTGAAGGTTCATGGATAGTTTGTTGTTTTGTACTTCAAATTGTTTGTGTTTGAACGATAACGATTATTGGATCGAAGTGGGATTTTGATCAAAATCCTTAAAGGCAAGATTCGTAGTATTGGCTCGTATTTCAAGTTACTATGAATTGAAGGTATGGATTTTAATGAAGAATATTCGAGGATCCATTCAAATAATTCTTTTCACTTCGGCTCAATTCAAGCATGTGAGGCATAATTCATTCGTATGGATTTGTCTTTGCTTCAAGATATTCAAAAGGATCAATATGCTTATGGCACAAGTTTGATATATTTGAAAAAAATTCATTCATGTGAATGGTTTCGAATTCAAGGCAAGGCATTCATCAATTTCATTCATCTTCGTTCAAATTTCTGAGCTTTATTCAAATACAAGATTCAATTCAAGTTCCTCACATCTTAAGTTCATCAAGAGAGTTTGTTACAAAATTAAACTTTGAATAAAATTCATCATGATACAAGACTTTTGAGTTTCCAAACTCAAAATACTTTCAAAATTACATAGAATTTCCTAAAGTTCTAAACCTATGCTAAATGACTCTAAGTCTCATGAACTTTTATGCCATTTAAAGCTTGTTACAAACACTTTTCTTTAGTCCCCAAAACAGTCCAAAAGAGAAAAATTGACAACAAAACATGTTGTTATGCTTGCTGCCACCAACTGCAAAAACAGCCCCACAAACCAACCTTGCTGCCCATAACAGTTTGCAATACTACACACACCAGTCCCAAACCTGCACCAAATAGCCCAAAGTTTTCACACAATTAGCAATACGAAAACTGCAGCAAAAAGCAATAAAACAGTATGCCAAATTTGTTGGAAAAAACTCATTAATTTTCCCCCCTAAACCCACTGCAGTTGAATATAAAACAGGGAAGCCCTGTATGAAAAAGGGGGGAGGGAAAGAAATCGAAAACATAAAAAAATTAGAGGAGAGGGAGAACACACAGAAAATTCAAGAAGGACGAAATTTTAAAGACATACAAAAAATCCAGCAAGAAGAACATAGAAAATTCAAGAGAGAAACTTATTGTTTTTTTAGAAGCCCCATCGGAGAGGCTCTGATAGGTATTTTTTTCTTCCTTTCTATTTCTTTCTGCATAGCTCTTTTCATTCACATATTTGAGTCTTCTTTGCACAACTTCTATGCCATGTGATCATTTGATTTATTATTATACTATATTTGTTTTGGTTGCTGCAACATTTAGAAATGTTAGAACAAGTAGTAGCAATAATCACAAAGAAAAAATAGAATAAAAACAGTTTAATATAAACTTTCAAAACCTCACAACATCGCCCTTCAATCGTCTGCTTTTTCTTTCACCTCTCTGCTACAAATCTGCAACAGAACGAACAACAATATCATCATCTCATCAACACAGCTATCACAAATTCACAGAAATTTCGAAACAACCATTTACGAATTGCCTCAACAACATCAAACCAATTTGTTACGAACTCCCTCTGTTGTACCATTTACATAGACCCAACCTGCCCTTACCACACAACAGTACCATTAGGAATGAATTCATAAACAAGCAGTAAATAACCAAATAAACTACTGAAAATTACCTCTTGGACTCCCGTGTTCATAACTTTTGAATTCCCTTTCCAATCCACCTTTAATCTCTGTTGATGCCCACTTGTGCCATCCTCTCTCCCAACTACAACTCCATCAACATTCAACAGTACACCCCTCTCCAGAATCACCATTCATATCATCTCCTTTCAGCTTAAGGACAGAAGAAAAGGATGCAACAAAAAAGATGAAATCGAAAAATTAGAGAACTGTCTTGTTGTTGAGAGAGAGGCAGACAGGAGAAGTATCATTTATTGTTGAAATCAAAAAAGAACAACAACATATGCTGAAATCGAAAAAACCTAGAAACCAAATCAAAACCCACCAACAAAAGGATTAACTTTTTATCTGCGGCTGCTAGTTTCAGAGGGTTGGGGAGTACCGTCAGTGCTTCTCAGTAAGTTTCGGTGGCGGCGGTGATTCGTGCTTCTACAGATTGAACTCATCAAGAAAAAAAAGAGAAAAGCATACGAGGATTACCGCGGGAGGAGATAGCTAGAACAACGTTCATGATGGTTCTTCTCCTACTTGTGCCGATTTTCAGGATGTTTGGTGAGGATCTGGAATTGATGTTGTTGCTTCTGTTGATGGTGTTGTTTCAATAAAGAGCGCTTCTTCAAGAGATAAGTTTGATTTGGAAAAGTTTACTCACAAAGAGATTATGGTGCCGGTAGTGATGATAAAGAGAGTTATGTTTTTGTTTCTTTTTACGGTAAATATTAGAAAGCAGAGTTTTATTGGTAATGGTAAATAACCTGGTCCCTTTTCTTCCCAAGACAAAATACGGCGCGCTTCTTTGTGCTTAGGGTTTTCAAACCCTTCTTTTCCCCTTCCCAACCGGGTCGCACCATTGGGCTTGTTGGGCCCAATCACACTATCATTTTCCCCATTTTATTTCATTAAGAGCATAGTAATAACAGATAAATATCATAGTCTAGCTGGCAAAGCTTGTATACTGCAATCAAGGAAACCCGGGTTCGACACTTCTCCAAGACATTTTTATTTTTGGTTCTAACTCTTTAGCCTTATAACAAATTAATTTAGGTTTAGTTTTAATCTTACAATTCGATTAAATAAAAAATATAAATTTCAAAATAAATTAATTAGTTTAGTTTAGGACTTTGTGAATAATTTTATTAACATTTTTTATCGTTCAGTTAGCTTTCTTTTAAATTATTTAACTTCTACACGATAAAAATTCAAAAAATATAGAATAGATCTTTATTTTCTTCTTTTCAATTTTTCTCACAAACAAAATACCAAAAATTTTATTTCCATATTTTGTTAATTAAATTTTACTTCATAGATTGTTGTAGTTTTAATTAATTGTTCGATTCGATTTGGTTGCATTGATTGTCTATTTGGAATTTTAATCGCATTGATCCATCCCCATTTGTAAAATTGTACCCCCATTCCCGAAATCTCTGTAATAGCGTAGAATTTTAATTTCCGCAATTTACTGTTTTCCTTATATTGTATAGTAATTAGGTGTGTATGATAAGATATAAAATCAATCGCTAGACAACCCTAATTAAATACAAACTAACTTGAATCAATTACACTTTTCACACGCACACCTCTAGGGTAACCTCGCTCGTTGCCTTTGAAAAAATACAGTCATGACCCTCGAATCTGGGACGCTTTAGCAAAGACCCTTCAATAAAAAAGATTGTAGTCCCTCGATGTCCCCCGATGTTGCCTTTGGTAAAACGATCTTAGTCCCTTACGAAAAATTTCTAAAACATCTCACAAGTTACCTTCTATGACTATACGATTGACCCGCGCCTGTCCCTTCACATCCAATAATGGGGCTTCTTACCAAATCAATGGTAAGATAGCAACATCTAAAGGAGGAGGAAAAGAACATTTTTAGACATTTTGAGTAGGTATGATGCTCCTAGTTGCTCACTTGCTCACAACAAAAACACTTTATACACCAACACTTTCATTTGGAACATTTTCAAAAGTTAAAACACTTTGTACGCGTTCTTATAGAAACGAGAACCATTACAAAGACACCTTTTCAAAATCACTTTCAAAAACACATTCCACAAACACCTCTTTAAACTATTTTCAAAAAATAACACTTTGTACGCGTTCTTATAGAAACGAGAACCATTACAAAGACATTTTCAAAATACTTCTGAAACTCACACCGCAAGCACATTTTCAAACAAAAGCAAGTGATCTAGCAAGCAACTAAGAGCCAGTATATAGCTACGGATGAAAAGGGTGCTAACACCTTCCCGTTTCATAACCTACCCCCCCCCCCCCAACTCAAGAAATAATCTCGAAAGGTCTTTCCTGTTCTTTTCAACCTTTCCTTTTGGATAAAAGAAAAGTCGGTGGCGACTCTTGCTATCTGCAACAATTGCGATTAAACGCAAAACAACCAAGTCAGTTCTCCCACCGTAATATAGTGTTGTTCCCTAATCTAGACCAACTTATAGATGTGAATGCGGTCAAAATTTTCCTCTCTCGTAACCCCGTGCCTACTTTGCTCGGAGACATTTTGCACTCTCTTCACACTCGTACCATGAAGAGAAGAGGGATTCTTATGTATTGCATACCATTACTGTCTAGGTAGTTTATTCCTCACCCTCCTCGATCTGTTTTGAAGAACGAACAAGGCTTAGTGTTGTACCCCAATTTTTGCCCCAAAGATCCCTTCATCATACCATTTTAATTCAATCACAAAAATATCACATTAGGGCTTTTGGTTTTTTCTCCCTATCTTTAGTTTTACTCTTTGAGGAATCACCAAGCACCTTGACTTGTTATCTTTTGTAATCATAAACATTTTGTCTTGATTTTTCCTTTTAGTTAATAAAATGCAATGTTGGTTTGTCTTGCTTATTACTAATGTAGGTAAAGAGAATGAGGCTTAGCAAGTTGCTCCATGGGTTCATGAGTTTATTTCCATGCCATAGTCAATAAAGTTTGAGAAGTTCAAACCTCATCATTAAAGTTGTTTTGGAAGAAATGGCATGACAAGGTTATTTTTGTTCACCTTATTTCAAGATTATCAAATTTGGTTCAAAAGTACAAGGGATTGATTGGAGAAGTTGTCATGCTTGGACAAGGCTTTGTTCCCATTGGTCACAAATGCATATTTCTCTAAATTTTCAAGATATGGAAGTGGTTTTGATGACTATGAGTTCTCATTTTTATCCTCAACAACTTCTATTTACAAAACATTTGTGTTGATACAAGAAGTTTGTTCAAAATTGCCAAAGTTCCTCAAGGCATTTCTCTTGATCTAGGAGCTAGGGTTTTGAACTTCAAAGAAACATATCTTGCTCATCTTTTAGTATTTTGGATTTATTCCAAAGACATCCTCATCTTAAAAAGGGTTATCAACAAATAACTTCAAAAGTTTCAAGGAGTTTTCATGTGGAATAAGCTTGATGATGAAGAAAGATTATAAGTCCTCCAGATGAACCCCTAATTTCTCATGTGTGACTTCAAATGATCATAACTTAGCCAATTATTATCACCTGGAGCCCACTCTTTTTCCATAATGATCTTGAAGATGTGAACTTTATGCCTTCTTTTATATGAAAAGTGAGAAAATGGATGGAATATTCCCTAAGGATACAAAAGATTATAGGTCATTTCATGATTTTTGGCCAACTTCAACAATTCATAACTCTCTCAATTTTTTGAGATTTTGAATGGTTCAATTTTCAAAGTGTCATTTAAGAGGTCTACTTCATGCCATCGTTTTTGGCCAAGAGAAAATTCCAAGTGGAAGGAAATGTTTAGATGGAAAACATTATAGGTCACTTTTGAAGAAAAACTTGAAATATTTCTAAGTATGGAAAGTCAACCTTTTTCCCCCAACTTTGACCCAGTACAACTTTCAGCTCAAGCATCCATTTGATTCCATTATTTTTCCATTGCAAAGCTTGTAACCTCATCTTTCTAAAGCATCAAGAATCATGCCTCAAGACCCCTTGAGCTGAGAATGCCATTGGATTGAACTTGGTAACTTGGAACTGAAGTTTCTTCATAAGTCAGAATTTAAAATTCATGTTTTGGCCTCTAAACATCAAATTAGCACGCGTTTGTGATCTAAACATGTTTAACCAAGTTGCCAAAGTGGATTAGAGCATTAAAACGCAAGGAATAGATGAGTTTTGATGGAAATCAAATCACACTTTGCTCATGTATCAAGTTCACACGATTTTCCTCCAAACTTCATCATTTCACACGCTTGAACATTCCATTTGATTCCCTATAAATAGAGGGTTATCCCCCATTCATTTCCTCAAGCTTTGAGAGCTAAAAACACTCTATTAAAACCTCACACGAGCTTGAAATTTTTGAAATCAGTTTCTGAGATTCCAGCCTTTTCCTCCAAAATTCTTTGCACATTCATCTTCCTCAAGCATCATACAAACTCTCCAGCACTTAAACCAAGCAAAATGAGCCATAACCTAAGCTATAGAAGTCCAGTTTCAGAGCTTCTTTCTTGAACTTCGAAAAGGTATAATTCTCCATCATTTGGATCCAAATAAAGCACTAACATGTTCTACTCCTTCTCCTGATTCTAGTGCTTCTTACAATTTTTAAATCCATTGAGAATTGAGAGAGAAATCTTAAATTGAAGGTGCTCGCTATTTTCTGGGTTTTTGATTCATATCTCTTTGTATACTTTATATAAATTTAGCGTGATGGTGGTGTTAGGATCATCTTGAAGAGATGAATCCAATGACACTGGTCTGGGATCCTAATTTTAACGTTTGGAGGATCTCACAAAATCTCCATTGTAGGGTGGTTGGAGGTTGAAGACGATGACATGTCTCGTCTCAACCAATGATAGCGTGCCAAGCGTTTTAATTTCATTGGTTGCCTTTTTCATGATTCCCTGCACATCCCACTAAGGTCCATATCAAGCACAGCGCGTCTGGTCCATTGGATTAGCTTACTAACGCGTTTTGGCTATGATCTGATGGCCCATATCATTTTGGTTTTATTTTATTTTCTGATTTTTATATTTTAATTGATTTAATTTTCAAAAATTCATAACTCTTTTATTTTTTATCCAAAAATTATGAAAAAATTCACAAAAATACTTTGAATTATTTTTGATCTCATGAATATTTTTTTCATATTTTTATTTTGATATTTG